GTAGATAAAGATGAATGACTTCTGGTTTACCTGTGCTATCTACATCTCCTGAGAAAATAATAGTTTCCGACAGATAGTAATAGCTGCGGTCGGATTCGACAGGGGGAAATATTTTTATTGTCATGAAATTCTCATTCTCGTGCATATTAAAATATGATATTTGATGTCTGTTTGTCTGTCCGAGTTAATTTCAGGTGCGGCTGAACCGATTGTAGTTAAACTAAACGAACACTTAGAGAACAATGCCAAGGGTGATCTAGGCTTTGTTTTATCTGAAAAACTTGGAGATATGTTTTCTTGAGAAATCTAAACATTGATACCTTAAATCTAAATAACGCATCATTAATATATCTTACCCAGGCTAAGCTGAGGCGGGAGAGGTCGCTAGTATTGTTTAATTACTAGTGTTATAAGGTTTATGGATCGAGTAATTATGATGTATTTTATACAAATACTTGTAAGTATGAATACAAGTTGAAGCAGCCTAAATCTTTTAAAAGTCAATTAGTAAAAGAAAAACATTGTTACTGGCACAAACTAACTCTATTTATACATACGAGGGTGACACTGAAAGTTCTTACAAAATCAAGAACTGAACAAACTAGCAAGTATTATATCTTTTTATTTCTTTATTTTATTCTTTTTTTCTTTCATTGTATTTTATTCTTTATTAATTTTATTATATCTTTTCAAAATAGTGTCCATTTACATCAATACATCGCTGCATCCGATGGAACCACAGAGAAAAGCAATTTGGCCACTCGTCCTTAGGGGTCTCTTCGACGGCATTTTGAAACGCAGCCATTGCTTCCTCGGAGTCCATAAAACGTTTTCCTCGAAGTTTTTCTTTTATTTTCGGAAATAAAGAAAAATTTTAAGGTGAGAGGTCGTGTGACCCAGTAATTCCACGTCTGACGTCACCAAGTAGTTTGTTTGGCGGTGTGCAACGAGGCGTTGTCGTGGTGAAGGAGGATCCTACTGCGAGGTCTTTCGGTCTACCGAACATTTTTCAAGACAAGTGGCAAAAGATTTTTAGTATACCACTCTTTAGTAACTGTTTTTCGATCCTCTGAAACAATTTTTTAGTAATGACCTGTTCTGCCGAAGAACGAGACCACCATATATATCCCATACTTAGACTTCTCTTCACTTTAGTTGACAACTCCTCGGAAGGAAACACCCAGACAGCAGACTGTCTATTAGTTTCAGGATCGTAACAATAAATCCAGCTTTCGTCACCCGTAAGTACGTCGGCGTTTGAGTCAGCTCCGTTAAATCTTTGAACCATTTCATGACACCAATCAACACGACGGAGTTTTTGGGCCTCTGTCAAATTATGAATATATCCACCGGGCACAAAGCTTCCTGACCGCTAAATGTTCATGGAGAAGTTTGTGCACTTGACTCATACCAATGCCTAAGCTTGTCCGATTCTGCTGAAAAGTCACTCTTTTGTCAGTCTCTATCACATACGCCGCACAACACTGATGTTATCTTCAGCCTCGCCGTAGAAGGCCGTCCCTCACGCAGATCATCGGTGAGATTAGTGCGACCACGTTTAAACTCATTAAACCAGTTATAAACAGTGGCACGAGATGGGGCTTCATCGTAAAAATGCCAATCGAAGTCTATCATAACTTTCTTGTTGACTGAAATAACATCGAAAATCATAAAAAAATCATTGTAGGAATATTTTCTTGCGTTAAATTCATGCTGAAGTGACACATACAATTTTCAATTTACCGCCAAATCGTAAACAAATGACAAGTTAATAAAATACACACACAAAAATATAGGCAAAGAGTAACATTTTCAAAATTTGAACTTATTTTTTTATTATATTGTTTACAAGTGGCCAGTTCTAAAAACTTTCAGTGACGCTCTAGTAACATGCACTTGAATGATGTTTGTACGAATACTGCACATGAAATAAAATGCGTTTTAACGATTTTACCGCATTAGGATTACCCTATTTTAAATTTTCAAATGTAGCACTCGTATAGAAATAAGACAAAATATGTAATCATATTGAAGACTTGTCCACAAAAAACAGCGATTACTGCATAGAATTTGTGCATTGAAAGCAAAAAATAAATATGAAAAATGTAAGTAATTAAAAATACAATACTAATTTTGATAAGAAAGAAAAAGAAAAGACAATTTTTTCGTAGTTTAAAAATATATTTTTTTAAAATACCAACAAAATTAAACTTAAAATGAGTGATACGTATAAGCATAATCACGAAATGGACTGACTTCAGTATCCTCTGATTTATAGTTTGGCCTACACCACACTGCTTATTCACAGATAGAAGAGTGTTTTAAAATTACGCCATTAGCTTTCGCTGTGACATGTAATGAATATAGAAGTAATTCTGAGACATGTTACTTTTAGTCTTATCTTTTTAAAAGTACATTTACTTGTTATTCAAAACATAAAAAACTCGATTTGTTGGTGCTCGGGGCGCTTAGGGCTGGATTTAGGACAGCGATTTAGTTATCACTAAAACCTTATTTAAAAGAAGAATGTGACTAAAATATTTCGAAAAATATAATATTGGTGAATGGGCACATACAAATTTAAAAAATTCAGCTCCGTAGCATTGGTAATAGGGGCACTCAAGTCAGGTCACAAAGCATGGTTTGTCTTACCGGATCATCACCCCGTCCAGAAAAGGTCATCCTGTATACTTCGCTTGCAGGCACGAGGCTGGAACTCTAGAACCTTTCTGCCTCACCGATCGTCGGTTCGTCAAGCTATATGGATAGCCTATTGCCACTTCAGCTTACCGTTGCTTATCCCTGCATGATTAATGTCCATTCGCTTAAGGTATACTGAAAAACAAATATTAATAGAGAACTATTGGAGGACATGTGTATTCTAAAAAAAAAAATCTGTATTCTGTAAAATAAGTTTTTTAAGTTTCTTTTATACTATATGGGTGACAAACGAGCACAAAGTCCACCTGATAGTAGGTGGATGCTGTGGCCCATAGATATCTACATCTATCATCGATTAATAATCAAAATGCAGATACGTTGTCACCCCTGAAGACTAAGATGGAATGCCTCGTTTCCAGTAAAAATGGTCTCCGGTCCAGGTATAGGTTCTACACTCATCATACAGAACGCAGCAACATTAAGCTACTATTTCACGTAGCTGGTATTCTGTGAGAGCGTGGTCTTTTTCGGTCGAGCCAACCCATTTGTGCTACCACGCATAAAAATAATATACTACTTATTCAAAATTATATACTTCTTATTCGGAATCCTAACTTGTATTCAAGTCATTGGTTTCAGAAATTAATTGTTCTTTTCTCATAAAAAGAGTAATGTAATTAATTTGTAGTAATGTATAATGTAATCAGTACGCGATCAAGTGTTTTTCATAGACTGGTGATGAAATTGCTTTTTTAAAATATGATTATGACAAAATCGTTCTTTATTATTATTTTTGAACTTAGTTGCTTAAGTTACGGTTTATATGAAGTAAGCAGTTTAGTTGATCTCAAGAAAAGAATTCAAGAGGTTTCGGGAAATAATACTGTAGTCGTTGTTCTCATAACTAATTTTCATAATAAAGAAGCTTACAATAAAGACGAAGGAAATTCGAAAGACACTGCATTGAGAGAACTCAAGCAAGAAAATAAATATTACATTCCTATAGATGTTCATAACCTATATTATATTGAGGTGGACGAACTTGGTAGAGAAATTTATACAAAATGGTTGTACAATTTAAGAGATGTTGCATCATTGTTTCGGGATCGATTTAATATTCAACTGTTTTCCGAATAGTTAAGAACCCTTGTTTTAGAAGAGATTTATTATGAAATTAATCTTTTTATATTATATATATTTATAATGACGACTAATAAAATATAACCGTCCTACAAACCTCTTTAAATTTTCACTTAAGGAGATATGTATTCAAAGTGTAATCACCCGTTGGCGTGAAGTTTACTGTTCCACACTACTACAACTGATTAATACGTGCTTAGTCTTTTATATCAATTTGTAGTTGTATTTTGGTTAGTTAACCTTTTTTAAATTAGTCCTTATAACTAAATCTGGTCAGGCCATGCTTTAAGACGGCGTAGATTTGATGAGTGAGGGACAATGCTCTAATGACCGAATGATGGCAGAATATTTACCCTCAATATCAAGTTTCATAGATAGGGAAAAGCATTACCATTGCGCTCATCAACCCATCTGCCTAATGCTGTGAGTATGAGTAAATTGTTCACTTTAAAAGCTTAAAAAGTCTGTTGTAGTACAGAAGCTTAGATTCTATATAAATAATACTAATAATATAACAGTGCTGTAGTAGTTTTACTGAGATTAAAATTGAGAATTTTTATATCTTTAACGTGTGTTCATAGAGTATATTAATCCCTGTTAAAACGCCTAGTAGAATGCGTTTACATGTTACTTAAATGCAAGCGCCTGTGAAATTACAATAGCATAGTAAAGCGTCTTTTGTCTATTGCTAAAAAAAATAGCCGTTTATTATCACGTTTTTTTAACACATTTATATTACATCGCTTGTCTGTTCGAGTCGAATTTAGTAGTTAGATAGAGACTTGAAATTGAAACTTGAAAAAAAAAACAAAAAGAAGAAAAAGTTTTACCCTTTTTAGTCAGTTTTAAAAACTTGGTATCTTATGTTAAAAAATACCTATTAACTTGTTGTATTTTTTCCTATTTATGGAATGCTTTTGTTTTATTAAGTTAATACCTATGTTATAAATAGTGGAATATTAAATAAACATTAAGATTTTTTTTATATATTGTCCCATTAATTTATTACTAGAATGGTTTTATGGCTACTTAAACATATTCATCTACGATTAAAACAGATCTTTCCATGTCATAACTTCTATACATCATAACTCAAATTGGTAATTTTAATTTTCCCCGTAAGAAATATTTATGAGTGACAAAATAATTTTACGCTTTGTTACAAAAGTAAATTTGCGGAACCTATAAATAAGTTAAGTATGCTTCCAGTAATGTATTCGTGTAGGTATTTTAGCTTTAATAATGCATATTTTGACGGCTCTGTGTGTAAGTAACAGTACTGGGTATTTTATTGATGTAAATTATTTAATGTTATATTTATATGCTTTACTCTTAAAGAATCTGCTATATTAATACCGTTTAAATAACGACCTTTTGCAGGTTCTTTGCAACGTTGCCATTATTTGCAGTACGATAAATAATACAGTCCATGATGAATTGAGGTAAGTTTACAAAACCCATATTTTTTATAATATTAGATTAAAAAACGAGTTGACAGTCCACCTGATAGTTAGGTGCTAAAGTTTGTACGGCGAGAGTAGATAAATATTATGAAAACAGCTCGCAATAGCGACTATAGCTTAAGTATCGCAAACTAATAAACTATGCGTGTCGCTTATGGCTGCAATCATAGAGTTTTGTGTTTTTTTTTTATTGTCAAACACGAGGTCGGACCGGTGAGCCGACGAGTTTTTTTTTATTATCTACTATCCTATTTTTATTTTTATTATATACCGATCCAGCCGGCTTCGCACGGGTGATTTCTATATCTCGACAACAGCTCCACCTACCGGGTCCAATTTTGAATCTTAACCATCTAGAGACCCACTCAAACACACACAAAATTGCATTAGAATCGGTCGGACCAGTTTCGTGTTTTGGCGAGACCAATGAACAGCAACTGATTTTTATATATAGAGATTAGTAAAAATAATAAGCGCGACGCAATTTGAGTTTAGGAACCTTGTTTTCATATCAAGTCTCGCCGAACAGACTTTACTGCTGCATGGTACGTCATTACTTCTAAGCCTAAAGATAAATGCTCAAATCACAGACTGTAATTTTACTTGTTCTATTACTCTTCAAAAATTAATACAAAAAAAAAACACAACACAACAACTTCATAGGGTTTGCAATATTACGTATGTACATGAACGTAATAAGTAACGCTACATCGACCGACTTAATATGTTTTCACATTAAGATGCAACAAATAAATAATAGGTAAAAAATTTATACATATTTTAATCTTGAATCTGTACTTACTGCATCTGGCATAGTTTTTACTATGCTACTGCGATGAGATAAAACAATGGGTAATGGTAGAAAACACTGAATAAATTTCAACTACGCTAATGCATTCTACCATTCGGTAAGATGTTAGGTAGCGGAGCCACGTAGCAGAGTATTAAGGCTACCATTACAGAGCGAATGTGTCGACTTGATCGGGGCAGTACCATGGTCGCATGGAATATCAGCGTGATCACACAACTGATCAGACAACAATTGATCAAGTGATAAAGGCGTTCGATCGTAGTTCTCAGGGGTGGCACAACGTATCTGTATTATGTTGGAAGGATATAAGTTCTGTCTAAAGGGCACAACATCCACTCAGTGGACTGTGTGTTTATTTGTCATCATTTTTATACTTCACCGTGCCGCGTTAGCTCAGGGGCTAAACGCACGCTGTAAATTTCACAGTACGCGAGCAATACGGGTTTGATACCCGCCAGTACTAATGAAATTGTTAATTGCAATTTTAAGTGCTGATTTACCAGGTGTACAGCGGTGAAGGAAAACATCCTGAGGAAACTTGCATGTCTGAGAAATAAGGAAAAAACATGTGAAGTTCGCCAATACGCAATGCTCATCTCCAATGCGCGGCGGACATTTCCTTGGCCTAAAACCCTATCAGAAATGAGAGGGGCCTGTGCCCATGTATATAGGCTGTAATTTTACTTTTATTCTTCACTAGCCCGTAAAATCCACTGCTGAACATGGACTTCTCCGTTGTAGTGAGGATTTGATTTAATCGTAACGCTTAGCGCATGTTTGATGTTGCCGCCCTTCACCGCTCTAAGCAGGTATATTATATTTGGTGTAAACAAGATGGTTATAGTGCCATACAGCCGTCTATAGGAAGCCAAAAAATTTTTTGGAGTTGTATTTTGGTTAACTTCGACCGAGAGGTCAATCGACGGATTCAATTCGGCTGGGCAGCGTTTGGGAAATTACGATACATCTTCTCGTATATATACCTCAAAACTTGAAAACGAGACTGTATAACCAGTGCGTGTCGCCAGTGATGACTTATGGATCTGAGACGTGGCCCTCCACTGCTGGCCGTATGAGGAAGCTCAAGGTCGCTCAGCAAGCTATGGAGAGGGCTATGATCGGGATTTCTCTGCGTGATAAACTTAGAAATGAGATATCCGCAGTAGAACCAGAGTGACCGACATAGCCTAACGGATTAATAAGCTGAAGTGACAACCGAAGAACCGACAGCCGATGGATAAAAATGGTTCTCGAGTGGCAGCCTCGTACCGGTATGCGAAATGTAGAGCGACCCCCCACTAGATGGAGTGACGACATGGTAAGACATGCATGAAGTCGATAGATACAGATGGTTCAGGACTGTGCTTTGTGGCATTCCTCGGGTGTTATGCCTATGTTCAGCAGTGGACTTGTGAAGGGCTGTAATGATGATGATGATGAAGATGTACTTTGGTTTGTAATTTCCATAGCCGCTTCTTATGACACCCACGAGACTAAAGGGGGTGATGGATTTCTCTTCTACTTCTAAAAAGAGACTGCAACGACACTTGCCAGCAGGTTGTATCACAGATCTGCACTAGTTTTTTAAATGTTTTATACAAGGAAACTTGATTAAATTCTCATGTGAATTTGTACTCGTAAGTACGAGTACAACAGTGCGTATTTTATAGTTTTGAATGCAGTTGCAATTAAATGTTCCTTATGAGTGATAGTTGTTATCGATTTGGATTTTATTGCGGGATGATTAGAAATGCTTTTTAACTCTAAATTAACTCTGGGAAATATATAGCCTTAGTGGAATTAAGGTTCAATTTTTATTTCTTTTGATGCATGTAATTTAAAATGCACATATTGCAAAAAATATCAGAAGTTACGATTAAAATTAAACTAAAATTCATTGCAAAATGAGCTTTGGTTTTGTTAACGAGGTTGAGTTGAAAATGAATAAATATTTATATATAATATTGTTCATTATATTAAAAATATATGAGGCAGTGTGTGTAAGCAAAGGCATAATTTTTATCAATTGGAACAGTGAGACCTCAATGTTGCCGGTTTCAGACCTTATCGTGTCTTTTATTTAATGGACTGTTGTCATGTTTTTTAAGAAAGTAATAATATAAAAAGCACTTTACAAGGTCCGTTAACTGTAGCGTCCACGTAAAATTTAAACCTGTTTTACATAATATAATAGCAATTATAATTAAAAGTATTTCGTATGCTTTCATTAACTTTCACGCATATATTTTTTAAATAATTAAGCAATGCCAATACACCACAAATACTCCGCTGTTCGTAACTAAGTTAAAAAGTTATCTATTTCAACAAAGTTATGAACAGTGGAATATTCAGAACAGTTTACGACGAGTGTGGTCCTCCTATGATCGAGTCGGCTCATTCGTGCTGCAGTCATAATATCGCTCAAATTTTATATTTTATTGCTTTGTATTATTTATGTATAAATGTATATTGTGGGAATGGCATTAATTTCTATTTTTACATGTGTGTCTATGTTTACATGTGTGTGTATTTTTTTATAGTATTTGTGAGTCACAATTTTTCTCCCCATCATAAGTAAACAGTCGATACACAAGAATAAAATATTTTCTTCGTTATGAGACAAGTCCAATGTTCACGAATAAACCAAACACAATAACTATCTTTCTATCAGGCTCTTTTTTTGCGCGAAAACTTCTCTAATACTTTCCCAGTTTTCGTAAACGCCAAATTCCCACTAATCACATCCTGATCGCGTGTGAAAAAACGTGTCGCTTAAAGGAAGATAATGTTAAGTATACCCGCATGTGGCGATGCCGCATAAGCACCTCACAACGTGAATCTACCTGTCCTATTCATAACTGCCTTTACGTTTTACGGAATTAACCGGTTAATTTGGGTGTCAAAACCATTTATTCGTAAGTAATCTTTATTGTTTAGGTTAAATAAAAACCGGTTACTTTTTTAACCGGTAATTGAATGAGCGATAATTTACCGGTAATTAATCGAAATTGACCGCTCATTTTTAACCGGTTCCGAGCCCCGTTTGTGACAAACGTGCATACATTTCCATGATATAGTAGAAACGCATACAGGTTCTTACACCAAAAATTCGTATTTTATTATAATGTTTGTTCCGGCTGTGATTCGAATCTATTAAGATAACTTAGTAGACATAACTCTGAACACGCGGTCAAATTACTGATTATTACAATTATCGTCGTCGGTGACTTATCAGCCTTGAAAACTATGCCCCCATATACTCGTCTAGGGTTGTTTTGATTTTTTTGTATAACTTTTCCGCACAGTTTTCTTTTAATACAGTAATGACTTAGTCCTGTTCAAGATACAACATTCAGCATGTATTTCTTTTAACCGTATAGTAGCGGAGTTAGAATATTCGCTACTCCATAACGTCCTATGAGTGTCGTAAGAGGCGACAGAGAAAAATTTAAACAGGGAACGGGCAGCAGCATCGTCTTGATAACAATTTAAAATATTTTAAATATAAAAAACTGCGGTTGTCAACCCGCCTGCCTAGCGAGGCCAAATATGGTGTAAGTTTCTCATACATAGAGGCATATGTTCAGCAGTGGCCTTTTATAAGCTGTAATAGATGGATGGATAGATGTATTTTTTGCAAACGTTGATTGCTGAGCGCAGAGCCAATAACCGCGCGCAGGTAATACTGCCAGTACCTGTCTGTGAGATTAGATTCGAAAGAGTTTAAATTCTTTATATTTAATAGTAGCCGTTCATTAGTGCCTTATTCTCCTAATCAGCATCGTGTGCCACGGGCAGGAGGCCGTAAGAAAATACTTTTCATAATATATAACCCCAACATAAACGTATATATTTATATATTTGTATATATACGTTACATATTTTACTAAATTTCTTTACTAGACCGCTGCTGCAGACCGTGAGTTAACCACTCATTCACAACTGGCAGTGTCCTCTTTTACTTTGTACTTCTAATAAAATTCCATAGAAAGTGTGTAGCTTAGTATGAAAAAATACCCTTTTATACACCTCACTTCTAGGCGTGAATGAACAGGTATCACACCTGAACTCCTGGCGGATGGCTTGCGATTTACCCACGACCTATGCGTTGACAACGTGTGATTCATGTACACGGCAAAAGAGTAAATGCCGGCTTGTTTGTATATGAAATTGGAAGGTGGGCTTATTTGTGCCGTAAATCAATTGCCAGAAATTACTACCATTACTGAGAAGTGGTGCGATAGGGTGCCATGCTGATAATGAAGAGAACGACTTTATATCTAAAAGTTACAAGTGAAAACGAATGTGATAACACTAGATGCGTTATCGCTTGTAAATTCTAGTTCCTTATATGATAGCAAAGTGTGTCTTTTGGCTTCAGTAACTGTACGCTTACCACCGCTTAGTGTGTTCTTGTTTGTAATTCGGACTCAAATCAATTTGATATCAAATAATAAATATTAAAGTTACAGGATGCGTAATGAGTAAAATGTAAATAAACTTCAAAAATTTGCTTACGTGCTAAATAATTCCAGTTTATATTTGAGAAGACACGCACTACAATAAATTACGTTTGCGTTTATCTTTTACCCGTTACTCCTCTTCGTTAAGGAGAAATTATTATACACGAAAGAGTCAGTGAGACTCGTGAGATGTTTTATTTGGGAAATTAATAGTATTTGCCCATTTTTAATAATATTTGTGTAGACATTTATACTACTTCAGTGTAATTATTTAATAATTACATATAGTAAGCGTAGACTATGAGTCATAATATACAGTTATTAATTAAAGCAAAGGACAATATTTTATGTTGTAATAGCTGTACCTGTAACGGCTGTATGCTGCAGCCTGGCTGTAAGCCAGGCTGCAGCTATATTATGGTTGTAGCAATAATAGATCGGCTCGACCGTGGAAGGACCTCGTTCTTACGGAATACCAGTGCGAAAGGCAGTTAATTACTGTTGTGTTTCGTATGGTGAGTATGGAGAACTGAAGGCTTCTTTATACTTGAAACGAGGCATTCCATCTTATTCAACCAGGAAGGGTGACAACGCATCTGCATTTTGGACTCTTAATCGAGGATATCGAGATATCTGTGGGCCACAATATCGACTTATAGTCAGGTGGACTGTTGCCCGTTCAAGAAATATTTACAAACCACTGTAAAGTTTTTAGACAAAGATTTTAACGACAAATTTACTCTTAAGTAGATTGTCAAGCTGTAATTTTCATACAAAAAACCGGCCAAATGCGAGTCGGATTCGCGCACCGAGGGTTCCGAACAAATCCGTAGGTTAAAATTATTAAAAATATTTTTATTATATGATGTAACTAAAAATGTATGCGTTTCGCAATTTTTCCTATATCTGTGCTATAATACATTGCTTCGTACCAAATTTTAAGATTCTGAGTTCACGGGAAGTACCTTACGGCAAAATATTTGTGGCATAAACGGCTGTATCTTTTGATTGCATTGGCTTAGAAGTTTGATTTTTTCACAGCTCTAAGGGACAGTAATCTTGAGTATTTGATATGAACTTCAGCTTGATACCTCGACGCGTTCCTGAGAAAAAGGGTCTTGACAGACAGACAGACAGACAGACGGACAATAAAGTGATCCTATAAGGGTTCCGTTTTTTCCTTTTGAGGTACGGAACCCTAAAAACGATAACGTTCTCCATAAGGGTATAGAGAGTCAATTTAATTACAGGCTGTAAGGCATTTCATTTTAGATGACAACGTATCTGCGGGGGTATATGTGTATCACTTACCGTTAGATAGGCTGTGAGATTGTTTGTCATTTCAGTTTTTGGTAGTTCATTGCTTGACCTAATATTATCTGGTTATTAAATTACATGTGGCTTTCTTTTTTTTATATAGGATAAGGGTGACTAACGAGCACACAGTCCACCTGATGGTAAGTGGTGGCTGCGGCCCATAGACATCTACATCTATCCTCTATTACAAATCAAAATGTAGATGCGTTGTCACCCGTGAGGACTAAAATGGAATGCCTCATTTCCAGTAAAAAGGGCCTCCGGCCACCTGCACTTACCAAGCGAAACGCAGAGGTAAACCTCTACTTCACGCTGGTTTTCTGTGAGGTCGTGGTTAGACCCCGGTTCGAGCCGACCCATCCGTGCGACAGCAAAAGCTGCCGCGTGGCTCTACCACTTCTTGACTTTCTACATTTTATTGTTTCTATCTAGCTTCTATATTGTAGCGTTTGAAACGCAAAATGCCGGCCTTTTAATCTCGTGGAGCCGTATCCGCTTGTAGGTACTGTTCCTCTCTGTTTTATTACTTTATTAAATAAATCAATTTTTTTTATAGAATTATGGTGACAAACGAGCACACAGTCAACCTCATGGTAAGTGGTTGCAGTGGCCCATAGACATCTGTATCTATCTTCGTTTGCGAATTAAAATGCAGATGCGTTGTCAGCCGTGTGGACTAAGATAGAATGCCTCTTTTCCAGTAAAAAGGGTCTCCGGTTACATTATTTCATTTTTATAAAGATCTATTAGTTTGTATTTATAGTAGTTATTTATTCAAACGTTGTAACCTTTATTGAAAAAAATTTGACGAGTATTACGCATGCGGTACTGATGGCACTCAAATGAATATCTTGATACTCGTAACATAATATGCAAGAAATATACCTTTTGAAAGAGAATAGATATTTAATGCTCTTTTTCATTAATCAATTGAAAATGATACTATCTTACAAAATCGATTAAAAATGAAAGATGTTAAATAGTGGCTAAGTTTTGTTTAAGATTTGAAGATTCGTACGATATATGTTAGTAAACTGAATTACTATAACAGAAAAAAAGCACAGACCTAGGTCAAGGTGTATTGAATATAATGAGACAAAAATTGTTTAATTTTGTAAAAGTTTAGGGGAATGAAAACGTTATCGCCCGAAACAATATTACAAAATGGAAATGTAGGCAATTGCCTCCAAGACTTGCAACTCTCTATCGCACGATCCGGCGATACAGAGCGAGCGGTATGAAACAGACTGCGTTTTTGAAAATACTTCCTACACGCGCCGCGTATCGGCACTTCACAATCCTCTTAATATTCTTTAACTTTGTTTTCTTTTTTTAACTGAAGTGATAAACGAATTAATAGTTCGTTACATTGTAAGTGGCTACTGCAGCCCATGGACACCTGCAACAAACTTAAAACGTTACAGATGCGTTGTCACATCTGAGCACTAAGAAAGAATGCTTCACAACATGTAATAGTACAGCTGTAAGAATATTCACCATCCCATATCATCCCGTGGTTGTCGTAAGAGGCGACAAGGGGAAATAAATCAGGAGATGGGAAGCAGCGTCTTCCTAATTACGACTCAAATAAAAAAAAACTGCGGTTGCCAACACGTCACTCTAATTCACCCCAATTCTATAAAAAAAATTGATTTATTTAATAAAGTAATAAAACAGAGGGGAACAGTACCTACGGACGGATATGGCTCCACGAGATTAAAAGGCCGGCATTTTGCGTTTCAAAGGCTACAATATAGAAGCTAGATAGAAACAATACAATATAGAAAGCCAGATGTAATTTAATAACCAGATAATATTAGGTCAAGCAATGAACTACCAAAAACATCTCCCCTATGAGACAATATATGGGAGAGGCCTCTGTTCAGCAGCGGACTTTAATAGGCTGTAACGATGTAATTATACTGCCTCTCTATATCCTCCATACCGGAACACAACAGTGCACTGCTATTCGGCGGCAGACATAGGTAAGATGGTCGATACCTACCCAGACGACCTCCAAAAGCAGGAAGAAAGAGAATCCTACCACTAAGTTAAAAATATACATTTTTATTCATTACAGAAACAGTGCAAATACATCGTTAAACTCATCTTTCGTCTTAAAAGCCCAACGCAAAGCTGTGATAATCATTAACGCAGGTTCTGCGCTTCGTAAAAGACCCGAAAAACAGGATCAAATTAACAGTTTAGTTTACATAGATTACGATGATAACGGGAATAAATTAAATGAGTTCTGGATGTATAATCTTCAAAATGTTGCAACTTTTTTCGAAGCTTTTCTGGATACAAAAATATGTCATGGAAAATGTGAAGATTAAATTTTGTCATGCATCATTTATTCTGCTAAACAAATGTTTGTAAAGTGTATTTAAAAAAAATTATAGTCATCCAACCAAAGAAGCCAATAAACGAGCTGAAATATCCGCACGGTTTAATAAATCACCGCCAAGTATCTGAAAGCATAAAAAATAAGTAATAATGATTTGGTATTACTTTTTAATAAATATTTATCTAACTGAAATATAATACTTTTGCTATTACTTTGAAAATAATATATAATTGTAAATTAAATATTAATATTTTATAATATACTGTGATTGTATTAGATTTTTATTTTTTTATTTGTGTTAACTGGTTTCATTTTAGTCCTCAAAGGTGACAACGCATCTGTATTTTGATTCTAAATCGAAGATAGTTGTAGAGATCTATGGGCCGTAGCAGCTACTTACTATCAGGTGGAATGAGTGTTCATTGCTACAGTTATTCTATTTCACGATGAAATTTTGACTTTGGGTGTTGTTTGCCGTGCATATACACATTGTGTTTGTTTGCGTAGGCCTAGGGAGCGGTACTTCCGAGCGCCCGCAGCCTACGCACACTAACACAATGTGTAATATGTGCACGGCTAACACAACCAAAGTCAAAACTTCATCGTGAAATAAAACAACTTTAATCCTTATTCAAGAATAAAGTAGGAAAATTTTGGATATAAAAGACAACACTTTGAAATGTTCAAAATATATACTATACAAGTTCGTAACGAGTCTAATAACTGGCATTTTAAACGAGACACGACATGAGTTCATCTGCAAAGAGAAGAAGTGGAAGTGGAAAGGCTATAAAGAAACTTTCATTCAGGAAAAATTTAAATATTGGTAGACTTTATAAATGATTTCTTCATTGTCACTAACAGAATTAGTTTAGCTAAGAAATAAATTATCATAAAAGAAGTAAAATAATCCTGGGTTGTCTGGAAGAGATTGCTATCTAACATTAAGACCGCCTTTTGTTTTTCCGTCAATATTTGTTTATTTTTGTTTTTTTTTTCATTCTTTGGTGTACATAAAGAGTATTGATTGATTGAATAATCCAACATAGTCGAACGGATTAGTAAGCTTAATTGGTAATGGGTCGGCCATGCAGGTCTCACAGGGAGGCAGCGCTGTACAGACAAGCGGAATGCAGGACGGCCCACCACTAGATGGAGTGCCGACCTGGTAAGACACACCAGAAGTCGTACGATCAAAGTGGATAAGACCGTGCTTTGTGATATTACTTGGGGAAGACCCATGTTCAACTGTGGACTTTTGAAAGGCTGCAATGATGACAATGATATTGAAATAAAATTAAATTGAAATAAAATGAAATTGAAATCTCACGTAATGCTATATGCAATTGTATGAAAAGAAAATATTGGATTGGTTGAATTTATTGATTATATTATTATATATAGCAAATAACAATACATCTTCGTTGTAGTCTGGCATTCCAGTAGATTTCTCATTTAAGAAGTAGTCAGTAGCTGCATCAGATTTATCCGTAGTTTTATATTTCTGATTGTCTTGTGTGTTAATTAGGTCTAGATTGGGATTATTTTCTGTTTTGGATACCTTAAAATAATATTTTGTGGATATATTAACTTATTAACGTTTACTTACCTTGTTATTAATTGTATAGTACTAGTAATTTGTTGCTTAAAAAAAGACTTAACTAACCTTCTTTGAACTAATGCTTGAATCGTTACTTTTATCGTAAGTAACACTTTTGTTATTAGCTTCAAAAAAAGGCTGAAGTCCATCGGCTTCAAATGTGTTGTTAGGATTAATGCGAGGATTCTTCATTGCGTTTTTTTTGTTGTAATTATTTTCGTTTATATATCCAGTTCTGGAATTATTAGTTCTGGAATTAAATTAAATATTTAAAACCTTGAATTCGTTTTTTTTTATATTACGCAGCAATACACAATATATTACGAAAATTGATTTTAAATATTACGTAGCACTTCAAGGGGCTTCAGTAAATCACTAATATTAATTATTATTAAGTTTCTTCTGCTAATATAAGGCGGTAAAAATGCGCTAAATGGGATTCATACACACTAGTTAATACAAACGTATATATAAAAATAACTTAATAAATAAACAAAAGTTAAAAATATATATATTAAGATTACTGTTCAAAAATATTATAAAAAATACATACAATTCATTTTCATGTTTTGTTTGAAAATGATCTGATAGCGGTGCTTCAAAGCTAAATATGAGATTTGATGATCTTGTATAATTTGCTTCTGTCGGTTTTCGAATATAAAAACACATAGTTTTATTTAACAAAGCAAGTACAGCAATGAGAAAAATCACCTGTAAAATAGTAAAATATGCAATCGTATAAAAATGAACCAAAAGTACATTTTAAATATTTTATATCATTATACTCGCCTTTTTAAGCATTTGCATATTTCTGGAAATAATTTAGAATATTTTATCGCAATAACATGAATGTATTGGTGGATCACGCAAAATATTATGAATACAAAAATGTCTTTAAACTTAAGGGAACAAAAACAGAACTGCTTCGCTTCATTGGCTTTTAAAATGTGAATTAAAGGCTAACCTGTTGAGCCGTTTTGGTTTTGCTATTCTTGGAACGTTTATCAGCCTAGAAAATTGGGATTCCATGCAATGTAAGAACCATTGCAAAATATGTGATTATTTATTTTTGAGATCATAATTTCATCTATTGATATTTTCATAAACATTTCATAATTTCACGTTATATAAGTACATTTTACTGGTTTGAAAAATATATACCACTAAGTAAAGAAGTATATAAATACTTTCATACATACATAAACACTCACGCCTGTCACCCAGAGGGGTAGGCAGAGACTACGGACTTCGGGGTTAACACGACCCTGACACACCTCTATAAAAAGCTTTATTTTAATAAAGTAATAGTTAATTTATATATGGAAAATGATATATTTATTCGATTAGTTGTTTTGGATTATAAAAATTTGTTTTGCATAAAATGACAAACATTTTAAAAATCTCGTTTGAATGCCTCATGCGGGTATGCTATGCATTTTGTATGTTGTGTTAAACTTACAAGTACTAATTCTAACTAAACTTACAATACTAACTACTACTAATGATTTCCCACACAAACTTTGTACTTTTGCCTTATAACTTATTCGGAAAATTAAAAATACGCATTTCATAATTTTAATCCAAAAGGATTTGTACCAACTTTGAAGTTACAAAAATCATTTAATTTTTTTTAAATTTAAATATGAAATCACCTCGTAAAATAAAAAGGTGCAAGTGTACAAACTGCAACAGCCTCTAAAGGTTTGAATTTTCCAAAATCCTTTCTTAATGAATATCTAAATCATAGGAGCTATTAAGCTAACCTATGTCCCATTTTCTCGCTTCTACGTCCAAAGATTTGGGTAGTGCAATATTTAAAATATTTATTTTACAAACTTTGCCACCCACGATTAAAAAGATTATGAAAAAAAGAAAAAAGAAATTTTATTATTTTAATTATAAAAATATTTGTACAAGTTTATAATTAAAAAAAACTAACAATTATTATTTCTTTATACTCAGTTGAACATCCTCTGGCCCCGCGTATGAAGGTGTTTTGTAAAATTGCAAAATATGTATCCATATGTTTTATTTACAGAGTATAATTTCAGTACGTCTCGAGTCTTAAAATTATTTATATTATATATAATTATTTATATTATTAAAAACTATGATAATAAAAAAAAAAAACTAAAACTAGAAACTTAATTATCATATAGTCCGACTCCCCGCGGTATCGTGCCAAGAACGCTGGCTGCGTTTCCCCGCTGAATGGCTATACTTAGCCTTTGAGCGAGGAAAGAACCAGCCCTCTTATCACCAGCAGCAACGACCAGCCGCGGATGGAGTTCCTTTAGGAACTTCACCGCACGTGGACCCCACGGACCGATAATCTCTACAGCAAAAGTGTCTACGCAAGTAGCATCCCACACTAGGGCTTTACCTCTCTCCCAAGGGACCAATGTCATACCGTCGGGTCTCCTGCCATCGCCTCTAAATATTCCACAAGGCTCTAAAACCGAGGGAACATTTATAGAGGCAAGAGCCCTTCGGATGACATCGTTCAAAGAACTGTGTCGTGAAATCCTACCAGCGCTTTTCTTACATGAAAGTCCGTGGAGCCCAAACCTGTCGACGATGCTACCACAGGGGCACTGATGGGGTTGACAAATCGCCGCTCCTAGTCGGATTCCTACGGCAATACGCAAGCTTTCCCTATCAAGTAATGTGCCGAGATTACTTGATGGTAAAGCGTGTAACCAGTGACTAGATTCCTTAGTCGAAACAGCTAGAAGGCGTGCCTTATCTTGGTCACTATGGAAATTATGAAACAAATCCTTCTGCACGCCCTGTACCAACGGAATATCCCACTGTTTTTGTTGGTTAACTTCCAGTGGAATATTTTCACCAGGACAGAGCGTTTGCCATGTCTGCCCTGCCTCCGTAGCAAAGCATAGGTCTACTTTATTATTTAAAATTATGTTACATAAGTCACTGACACTATGCACGGAAGCAAGGAAAGCAGGCAATGCAACGCTAGAAAGATTTCTCACACCAATGCCACCAAATTTTATAGGTAAAGTAGCTTGAGTCCAGGCTGTTGTATTTAAAGTTAAATTTAGAATTTTTTCTATAGCAATTTTAAGATTATTATCAATATCTTGTAAAATATCCGAACATTTCCAGACTGGACTCGAGCGGAGTAAGTATGTAAATCTAGGTACAAGAAGACAATATTTTAAAATAGTAAGAGCTATGTGGGGTTTAATTTATACAATTTATCAACGTGGTTTAAAAACTGATCAAATTTTGTTTTTAAAACAGGTTTAATACTATCGAAAAACAACGGGGCACCTAGCAGGTATAGTGATTCCGTATTGACAGTTTTTATTCCTGGACAAATATGATTAAAATTTTGAATTAAAGTGTCTCTATGAGAAGTAGATAAA